CTCTAAAGCACTCCGTTTATACATTAATATGTTTAATTTTATTGACTGGGAATTCTTTTATCATAATTAATTTATTACAGAAAACTAATTATTCGCTGTTAGTTGATATACCATCTTCAGTCCAAAGAAATGTATAGAAATTTTCAACAGAATGATTTGTCTGTCTAATGATTTATTTAAATTTTTTGGGGTTTCAAATAAAATTGGACTTCAACTATGAAAAATACTGAAATCTCCACAAACTCCTTCCGATTATAATCATATGCTCACTAGTAACTGACTTTAAGAGATATTTCTTGGAGTTCTAGTGAGGAGCAGTGACCAGTGGAGTTCAACTAGGTCTGTTGGGAGATATCAACTCACTGAAGACAATCGGTGAACGGTTTCTCAACTTTGTGGATTGGTTGAAGTTAGACATTAATACCATAGAATGCCAGCTGAGTGGTCTAGTGGTTAGGCACCCTGGCGCGAGACTGGTAGGTCCTGGGTTCGAATGTCGCGAGGCGGGATCGTGGATGCGCACTGCTGAGGAGTCACACAATAGGACGAGACGGCCGTCCAGTGCTTTCAGGTTTTCCATGGTGGTCTAGCTTCATGACTCATGATTTCAACTATGAAAAATACTGAAATCTCCACAAAACTCCTTCTGATTAAAATTGGATTTTAAAATTAACCATTTCATTATACTTGCTAATTTTTGTTATAAGGAAGGAATAAACTTTAGTAATTACAGTCATATAACACTCCCATTAAAATAATGTATGATCGTATCGTTTCAAACTGTCACAACAATAATAGTGCAAAAGAGAGAAGACATTTAAAGAGTAAGTAAGGTGATTTAATGACAAAATTCAATTAAACATTATTACATAAGCACAGTGTTTATTTTTAATGCTTTCAATTAGGTAAATATTACTCAATAAACATTTACCATAAACTTCATTATCAATAAAAAAAAGTAGGTAAATACATGAAGAAAAAGGAATATGGAGTAAAAGCCATGCATGACCGTCTAAGACGATTGAATCAAAAATAAACAGACTGAAAAAAACCCTGAAAATTATAAGGGATAAAGTGAAATCAGAGAAAGAGAAACAGAGAGGTGGACTTAAAAGAACATAAACTATTCATCAATATCTCTTTACGACTTAATTTATGTCAACATAGAACTTTGTCTACAAATTAAGTCATGTCGATTGTGATGCTTTCTGTACTGGAAAGTCATCTCACAAAGAAAGCACCTACTAATCCAGTAGAACTGGATAGACTTCAATAGAAGTTCACGCCATTTTCAACAACCACCACACCGATTTCAAAAACATCAAAATATCACAAAAAGGTATTTCCAACTACAAAGGAAGGAGAGTAGCTGAAGCTCTCCATATAATGCTTAATCCTACTGCTCTCAGTAGAAAAGAAGGCCTCATTATACATCTGACTTGGACTAACCAATCTACTATGTTAAATGCTATTCACATTTCACATTATTATCGTGCATACAAATTAAACTCTATTCTTTCTCATCACAAAAGTCATATTTTTTCATCCCTGACCTTCCACACATACACGCAAGCACAAATTTACATACATGTCACCTTGACCGAAATGACATGACATTGACTTATTTAGACCTATTTTTTGGTTGATCGCACATAATATTCTTGCATTGTTTCTTTGTAATATTTAAACTTGGATTGATTTTGATTGGGTTATTTATTCTCCGAAGTGGCTTACACTGAGTCACGAAACGTCAGAAAGTCAAAAAATATTGGAATTAACTATTGAAGAGAAATAAAATCATTGATAAACTGTGTATTATTGTATCTTTGTACACTAAAATTCTTCTTGTTAGATGCTTAGAATTTATTATTGTTTTATGAGGGAATGATCACTCTCTATCTAACGGATATCGTTTAAGCATTGGTTAAGTTATGAAATCCTTAGAACGATAGCATTCGATTAACACTAAGAAGGGCTTGACACGCATGACATTGATCAATCAATTGTGATTACATCTCAGTCATACAGGAGGTCGGTCGCGGCCCGAATAGCTCAGTGGTAACGTCTCTGACTGTGAAGCTGAGTGACACGGGATCGAATCCGTCAGGGAGTACCAGTTCCCTCAAGATTACAGGTACACCTTGCTGATGAGTGCCAAGTAGCACGAAACCCGGGTCAAGGGTTTCCTGTCAATCACCTCCAACCACCATTTTATCTCAACCATAGGTGTTGTTAAAATGAGACTAATAATGATATTTTTTGGTCAATTTAATAAGATAATATCTAATATTGAAATGAAATATCATTATCCTACAATTTGAAAGATCTGAAATCATTCACTGTTTTAACATACAGCATTGTACATTTATTATCATTATTATATATATTATATTGTATTATTATATTTATTATTAATGTATACCCGGGTCCAGGGTTTCTTGTTGACCACCTCCAACCACCATCTTATCTCAACATTATGCACGCAGTGTCGAGCCACCTAGACTAGTGGCCACATTGCAACTTCATCGATAGCATTCGATCAGCATTAAGAAGGGCTTGATACACATGACATTGATCACTACCTAGTGATCAATCAATTGTGATTAAATTCAATTTTTTCATTCAAATGCGTGATATATAAACGGAGTGACAATGTGATTTTATATCTTCATTTGTAGTTAATTTATTTATGTAGTATATTTTCATCAATCAAGACAGACGAGGAATTTGGCTTAGACATGTCATTGACACTTTTGTGATAATTAATAAAACGTTCCTAAAAACGTTATCTCTACTGATAATTGCATTTTAATGTCATATTACATTTACTTTAGAAAATGAAAGCAAACACTGTAAGTGATCATTCTGTTTTATAGATGAAAGTCAACGATGATTAGTTGTTGTCTCTAGACAGACTCTAGTCATATAGATATATGATTTGTATTTATATTTTCTTACCCTTTGTGTTTGATATACTTATTGATTAATATACAAGCTGATCAGATAGATGTGTTTTTGGTTTGAGGTGAATTGATGTATGGGTATTTGGAATAGAGCAAGTCAGTCATGCATACAATAGAATCGTTCATTGTTTGTTTTAAGCAAATCGGCTATCGACTAGTAATTCAGGAAAGACCTAAAATAATCTTACATTCTGAAGTTGATTGAATAGAATAAATTTAATTAAAGTTCTATGTCTAACCTTTCACCGTAAATTGACATACGCAAATAGGGATGTTAATTTCATTTATGCACATACTTTCAGTGCGAAAATGCCTCTGGTTCTAAATTTATTCAGAACTACCAAGAACATTACTTCCGGAAGAAAATAAGCAAACAGAACAAAAGTGCACAGTAGACATCTTTTGGTTTAATAATTTTCCAGATAATATTATTAAAAATATATTAAAAGGAAACGATCACTCTTTAAAAATGAAATTTCACAGATTAGTACCTTATTGCCATGATACAACAGTAAAACTGCAACGTATCCAGAAGCTACAGAGAATTAAAGCTGCTATAAATCAACTAACACTTTAAAGTGTTTTGATTAGAACGATGGAAAAGATCCTTTTTACATCCACATAGTGTTGTGTCTACAGACTAGGTTGTGTCAACTGTGATGCATTCTGTAATGAAGAGTCCTCTCCTGAGATATCGATTCGTTCCAATGAATACAAAAAAGCCTAATAATTCTGTGGAGATGGAAAATCTACAAATCAAATCAGTAGTATAGCAGTACATGCTATTTTCAATAACCACCATAACGTTATCGAAATAATTCAAAAAAGTTTTCCGAACTGTAAAGTAATGTAAGTCACTGTTGATATAATGATAAACTCTACTGTGCTTTATGGAAAAGAATTCTTCACTATGAATGCAAGTCGCCTTAACTGAAATAACACGACATTATCATGATCGAACCTATTTTGATTGTACCGAAAATTCCGCTTTATTCTTTTGTACCACTTCAACTTGTGTCAAATTAATTCGGTTATTTATGTATTCTTCAAAGAAATGATTTACACTGAACCGTGAAACATTAGCAATCCTACTTTCTGCTCATTCGCATAAGACAAATATATTATTTGATTATCATAGCTATATAAACTTATTTTAAATACACGAGCACACAATCTCAGATACTCATATTTAAGTTGTTCTTACATGTTTTAGACTCTGTTAATCAAATTTAAACTATATATGATTACCTATTACAATTAAACTAATTAGATGAATTTGCTTCAATTTTGTGGATACTCAATTGTATCCATGACTTACTTATCAATGAAAAAAATTGCCAATTCAACAATTCATCAAATTACAGTTTTTTAAATGTAGTAAGGCTAAACTGGAAAAAAGACAAACATGAGATCCTTTCCTTGATTAGTTTATTTGTATATATGAACATTTTTGTTTGTTGAACCCAATGAATAGCTTGAAATATGTTTTAAGATCACAAACCAATCCAAGTTAGACATTCTTTGAAAACCAGAAAGCACTGGACAGTTGTTTAGCCCTACTGTAGGACTCTTCAGCGGTGTGGATATATGACCACATGGAAGATTGAACGTAGATCTGCAATTCAGGTGACGAACGTTTCACCTCTAGACTACTGGCCTAGCATACATTGGTTTGAATATCTAACTTCAGTCAATTCATGGTATTGAGCCACTATCGTCAACTGTCTTCAGTGAGTAGATGCATCATATTTGACATAGTTGAACTCTAATAGTCACGGCTATGTAACATAAATTCAGAAATATAATCGTGAAGTCAGTCACCATTGAGTACATGGTAATTATAAGTACATAGGGTTGCCGACGAGTGCTACTAAGGAGTCCCAAACTACGAACAAACAGCCATCCAGTAATTTCCGGTTTCCAACGGTTATGTGACTTAGATCGGTTCGTAATCTTAATAAGGTTCATCATCTCATAAAAAATTACCATATACTATTAAAATAGTTGGTTGTTTCATGAAACGAGATAATCACTTACAAAGGTGTCTCCATTGTAAAAATCCCTTTTTCCTTTAGTGATAACAAGAGTGGCGTTTCTACTGGAATTTGAAGATCAACAGGAAATCTCATTTGCATATTACCTTTACAAACTTTTCCTATCCATAAAGCAAGTTGTCGATGACTTTTTAAAAAGTTTAAGATTAAATAAGATTATTCAATTGACATAAGGTTAATAAAAATGGTCTACTTGTACTTAGTAAACAGTATGTCTCTTATTGTATAAAATAAATGACTTCGGATTTATAAACTGCGATAATTAAGAGTCAGTTAACCAGTCAAACAGAACGTTGAACCCGATATATGTATACATTAGTTCACGTTGCAACACCCTATTAATATTGTTAAATGAAATTGTCAGGGTAAATCCCAGAGTAGTAGATCTGGTAACAATGGTAATAGTAAAAGATTGGGCATACAATTTAAAAAGAAAATATAAATCATTGAAATGTAAAAAAACATTTATGGATAATCTAGAAACTTAAGATTTAAGAAAGATTTTGAGTAAATGCACTTGCATGGTCAAGAACGATTTTGAACCATATCACTCAAAGTCGCTAGTTAAATGCAGTAACCATGAAAAACGATGGAAAAAAAATTTCTCCGATCGGTGTAAATCACGAAAATCAACATTTATTCCAATACTGTTTAAATTTTCACAATAATTCAGAATATAAGACACATGTTTCTATGGGGATTTCTTGGTAAAGAAACTCCCTCCCATCATAGCATTAAAATCACAATAGCTTTTTACTGTCCTGTTATAAAAACTCAATCGCCCATTGTTTATGAGCATTGTGATAACTAAGTTCTTCTTAGATTTGTGACTTTTGAGAATATTTTATTCTCATGTTAACGCATTATACTACTTAGTTACCAATAAGTAACAATGTCAGTTATTTTGAATAAATCAGGAGGTGTTCAGCAAGACTAGAAACACTACGGGAGGTTAATATGTCCATATAATGAGTCCCAATTAGGGAAAATTTCGTAATCTGGACTTAATTACTAGCCAAGTCCAAAAGACAAACACTTAAACGCAATTCATGGTATCCCAACAAGGAGCTCATATGCTAAAACTGCTTGATCCATTGGGTCAAAGCAAATAGAAAAGGAGAGTTATATCGTCTAGTGATAGCTTAATATTCGTCATACTTCAATAATCCGGTCGCCTGGCGGATAGCAACTTGACCTCCAAAATATTAGATAATGGGTTGAATTATAAATAGAAATTAAAAGATAAATGCACCCTATTGACAAGACTTAAATTTGAAGAAACGTGTGCACCATATTTGACTGCACATCATTAATAACTAAATAGAAATTTTCAACTAACTCAAAACAAACTCCTAGAGAAATAATCGCTTACCTTCAATTAAAATCCTTCGATTATTATTGTATACGCATATATCAATATTAAATTCCATCTCCGATAAATTCAATCCAATTTCTATCTTTGAAGATGAAGCAAACTTATAACTTCTCTCTTTGATTGGATAATTTCGATATTCAACTAAACAAGATGAATTGGATTCTAAATGCTCTTTTTCTAATTCAACTGACAAGTTCATATGATTTGCTACTTGACAAGGTAGACCATCTTTCCATAACCCTTCATAACTAGGTAACAGATTCGCTTTGCAGGTTAGTTTACCCTGTCCATTTGGTTTGCCATTTTTGAATTCCCCCTAGAATGAATTAACGATGTAGTCAGGAATAGTTAAATATTTGATAGACTATTTGGTAAATTAATTTCAAGTAGTGAAGACTTGAAATTGAGTTTTGTGAAACATAATTGGTGTTCATTTGTTGCTTCAAAAGAGGTTTCATTTGCATTTATAGGATTTGAACTACATGATAGTATTCACTTTAAAGGAGAGGAGCCAAAAAAATATAATTTCAACAGTCCTATTGGAAAATCAGGGTAAGTGGTTAACACTAATTTAAATTTCTTTAAGGGACGAGAAATATAAACAGTACACAAAATTGGGCAAATGGAGAAAGAATGGATAACAATACACAACAGGGTTACCCTGACTATTAAATTTCATTTTGAAACTGAAAGACAAATTATTTCGTGGTATAAATTAAGGCAAGATAATTCTTTTGAAGCAAAAACTTTCATGTCTAGCCATAAATTTATGGTGTACATTTGAATAAAGACTGAAGGCAAAGATAATTAACAAGAGAAAAGTCTTCAAAAGTTTCAAAAAGGTTTAAAGGAGGGCCAAAAAAATTTTTACAAAATGTTTGGTGAAATTTTATCTTAATGAGAGCGAAATATAACTTCAGAGCCATTTCTATGCCTACAAACAATCTGGCTACATTTTCTTAGAATATAAGATCTCCCCGAACTTTCCTGAGCGGTTAACTTAAGCTTCAGTTCATGGGAACTCAGACTCGATCGACTTTCAGTTAGTGAACTGTGACTATCTTCATTTGTGTAACAGTAAACATTATGAGTAAACTACATTGGGAAGCAAAAACCTATGTTCAACTGGACATACATTATTTCCGTGTATATGAAAGCTTGGGAAATCCTTGCTCATATATTATACATGAATTCTTACTTGCGAGTACAAAACAGCTGAGTCAGCTTAAGCACAGGCTAACAAGAAGCCTACGCAATGGTCGCAAACAGTGGTGGGTAGGGAAAGCAAGAGAGATGGAATAGGTAGAGGCAATAGATAACAGCAGACAACTATTCAAACTTGTTCAGGAAAGCGGTATTAGGAACCCAACTGTCAGCGAAACTATCTCAGAAAAAGATGGACATATTAATCATTTTCAATCCAGGAGATTGGATCGATGGGCAGTACACTTTAGGGATCAGTTCAACTGGCCTTCAGTCACACTTCGGTTTCCCACGATCCCCAGTCGACCTGAATAGCAAGTTAATGTAAGTCCCACAACTCTTTACGAGGTTGAAAAAGCTATAGGAAATCTGAAGCGAGGGGGAGAAGCAGGCCCTAACAGGTTTACCCTTGAGATTTTTAAGAATGACAATCCAGTACTAGCAGCAAGATTGACTGAGGTCTTAGGTAGAATCCGGGAACTAGATGTAATGCCATCTGACTGGTCCCAACCGCTGATTGTGCCAGTCTATAAGAAAGGACAAAAGTCCTCTTGTGACAACCACAGAGGAATCAGTTCGACTAATATAGTGTCTAAAATATTAGCTTCAATAATACTTGGATGCCTATCTAAAACTCGTGAAGAGTAGACTAGAGAAAACCAGGCTGGTTTTCGACCTGGACATGGCTATATAGACCAGATATTCACACTACGTCAGGTTCCAGAACATAGACACACATTCATACGTCCCACAATCGTAGTATTTCTCGACCTTAAGGCGGCATTTGACTCCGTTGATCTTGAGGCTCTGTGGGTGTTTGTCACTGAAAGGAGTACCAAAGAAGTACATCAATCTCATAAAGGCTCTCTACTCGAACACAAATGGCTGAGTTAGAGCTTATGGCGAACTGTCATCGGAATTGATTACCTCAAGTGGTATTCGTCAGGGCTGTCCACTCTCTCCATTCTTGTTTAACTTTATCGTATACATGCTTTTACAAATAACACTTTCTTCATCCAAATTTAGAGCGGTTGAACTTCTACCACGAGACTCACTTGTTGACTTATAATATGCCGATGACATAGTTCTATTTGGTGAAGACGCTGACAAAATGCAGAGTCTTCTCACCACTACAAGCAACAATGCAGGCATATTCGGGATGCGATTCGCGAGATGATAGCAATCGATGGTTAGAGACCTTGAATGACATGGCTCAAAATCGTTTGCAATGGCGCAGGTGCATCCACTCTTTGTGTTCTCGCAGATTCTAATCTTCTGAATTCTTCATGTCTCTATCCAATTGTCTTTCCAAATTTATTTCACTGGGTTATACTGTTTGAATAACATCTTCAAACCCTAATCTTTCCAATTAGTGCTTATACTCCTACTACTTCTACCACTATGGGATTCGAATCAACAACTACATCTCTGTGCTAATGTGGTATGGCAACCCGAACTGATGCACCTACGTACGAAGTTCTACGTTGTGACTGACTGATTGACTCTAGAGATCTAACATCACCAACATTAGTGAACATCAGACTCTACCAAATACTGAACAGATTAAGCTGATTATTGATTTTATTGCTAATTTTACTGAGATCTGTATATTGAACAGTACATTAATCACAATGCATGTATCTAAACTAATAAAAACTATTAAGGTCAACTCTATTTTAGCCACAAAAATAGAATAAAATTATAAGCTTATTATCAAGTATAAATGACTTATATTGTGGTCAATTGAAAGATTAGAAACATGGAGTAAACATACTGAGTTCTCGCCATTTAATGTTTTAAATGTTACTTTTCTACAAAATATTTCAAATATAAAACAGACCATTATAACTTATATGAAGAAAAGTGTAGTTTCTAAATAAGTGGGCGTAAAATTTTAAATCCATTTCATATCAATTTAGACGTACTGCAAACTAACAACATATTGAAAAAACAAAATAACTGTCTGTTTTGCAAGATCAACTATTTGTATAGTATGTAATTGATAACTACACCGCTGAAGTTGTTGTGTTACCATTCAAAATACGAGAGCAAGTCTCATTATTTAAGTCACTCTTACTTCATATATCATTCCATTTATCATCTTCATGATACCATAACCATCATAAATATTATTTTTCCAATATCCTATGTAAGAAAACCTTCGACAAGTTATCCATAAATTGAAAAACGTTGTACATACTTGTGCGAATATAAGCATCCTGGCCCATTTTTTTTATTTCGAAAAAACTCACCCACATATTTATTCTTGTCCACATCGACATACTTTCCATGACCTTTATTTTAGTTTTTTTAGGAAGGAATTAATACCCTGTTGTAAATTGTGATACCAATCACCTTCGTACGTGGATCCATTTCCATACTTCATTAGACCATACCCATGACGTTCCCCGAACATAAAGTGACCGATGTATTCGTTTTTTGATATTGCATAAAATCTTCGTCCACTTCCACATATCTCCCCATCAATAAAGCTGCCTTCATAAATACTTCCATCTTTCATAGAGAATCTTCCAGTCCCTATGATATTAGGTAAAGCCAAAAACTCACCACACTTTTTACCATTAATCCATTCACCTTCATACTTGTAGTATCCATTTTTATAAAGATAGGTACCCATACCTCATTAGCGTCTTATAAATAATAAAGAAACATACTATTGAGCTTAATTTTGCACATCTGACCAATGCAAGATCCAGTTGGCATTGTTATAATTATGAACTCTTCGATTGGGAGGTTGAGAATCTTTCCACAATCTTTGTTTTTAATTACAGAGATATAGTAAGTTTTATTTTTTTTAGATAGTTTGACATAAAAACGCTATACTTACATGTAATCAGTTACTGAATGAATTAATATCACTGGTGCTGGCAGTGAGTTTCACTTAGTGACTAACGAATAAAAGATTTCGAGTCTCACCTGAAGTTATTTTTGTGTTCATAAATCTATGGGGCGCAGTTCATAAAATTACTGATCTTACAAAAATCAAAAGATGCGAATGTCATCCCTCAGTTTACTGTTTGAAATGTTTCATGACATCGTTACACAACGCTTCGTCCAAAAATATGATATAGAAAAATCCAAAACACTTCGATCATTTCTGTAACAAAATGGTTTCCTTCAGAGTACGTTAGCAAATCAAACTTCGTTTTTAAAGTAAGATCCATTACAGTTAATGCAATGCTCTAAACGATACTGTACACGAGTTAGGTACGGTTTAGTAAGCAGCTCCTTATCAAAACTATTGGAGTTTATTGAAATGACTGGTGTTGAAATCTTTTCACAGTATATCATGAATAAAGGAGTGCTATTTCTCCCAAATCTTTCTGTTGCAAAACAATAGGCAGAAATATCTTAATTTTTGCCAACTTGAATCCCTTTTAAAATCAGTTTTGTCCACAAAATTACTACACCAGCTTAACCCAAGGCATGTTAATTTGAACACATTGAAAATAAGATTTAATTTCAATAGTTGCACACATTTCTATCGCTAAAAAAGGATTAAGACTTTCCAGTGAAGAGACGTTTCTTTAAGACAATATAATTTTTGAAGCTGTACAATCGTATTTGTAGGTAATTTTTACATGCTGTATTCTATGGCGAAATATAGGGGTTTTACAAGACTATCAAAAATGGTCAAACTTATTCAAAAGGAAGTCAATGAAATTAGATTAATATTTTGTTGCATAGTAAAGATTATCAAAACTTTTCTTTAAGTTGTAGTGACCGGCCAGTCTCGATAAGAACACGATTGGAATAATAGAAACAATTATTATTATTGTAACCAATTGTACCAGAGATTGTTTTACTGTATTTGTTTAACTGTATCCGTTTCACTTCTTGTTCCATATACCGCCTGGTTTGGTTCGAGCTTGCTCACGCACTGCTTGTTCGCTTGTACTCTTTGGCACGTCTCGGTATTATTTCGATACCACGAGATCGCCAATAAATACAATTGATCTGGACTAGTAAAGCCTTCTGGTTTACGGGCTATCAAGGGAACCAAGTCATATTTGTACGCGTAATCGAATAGTAGTGGTGATCATAGTCCGTCCACGACTCGACATCCACTACAACTGGTGAGCCGTTGTTGGAACACGCAATACAGCTGGTAACCCAATCCATCGAGCACAAGTCAAACTTGGCCAATTCTCCAAACCAGATCAATCCGGTGAGTCTATTTATCTATCCACATCTGTTGCATATATTCGTATTGATTTTTTTCAATATATAATATTTTGACAACTTAATATGGTAGATAACGATAAGAATAACATAAATATGATAGACTCCGAGATACAGGTTATCAGTTTCCGACCGGTTCCTTTCATCCCCCATGATCCAGAAGTCTGGTTCGCGGCACTGGAATCTCAATTTCAGATCCGCCGCATAACCAACCAAAGGCAGAAATACGCCTACGCTTTGGAATCATTGCCCGGGGATCACCTAACCGCTGTCCGTGAGGTTGTCCTCAATCCCAACGTTCCAAACGTTTATGACCGTCTTAAGGATTCCATCCTTCGACATTTCCTCCCATCAAGAGAGGAAAGATTGAGGACACTTTTAGCACGTCACCCTATGGGTGATGCTAAGCCGAGCCACCACCTCACGCGCCTGCAATCCCTTGCAGGAAACATGACAGCTGACTCTGAGATAGTCAAAGAGTTGTGGTTCGAAGCCTTACCAGTCAGTATCCAGCCAACCCTTACGGCTCTGCTCGAGGACACCCCGCTCAACAAGGTGGCCCTCATAGCAGATAAGATTCTGGCACGAGTTAACACCAAAGGCGACCATTTTGTTGCTAGTTTTTCCCGTTCTAACGTTGATCTCGATGCTAGACGACCTCCGGCTCATGGGGATAGGGACAGATGTATCCATACTCGTCTCAGTTTCCGAGACCGCGCAAATGTGCCAGCCCCCTACGTCCCCCGACCCAGGTCATAATCTCGAAAAGCCGTAACGACTCGCCCCAAGCGGGCATCTTCCAAGCCACGCCAGAAGGCGGTTTCGGAAGCGAGTCCAGGTTGGTGCTGGTTCCACCGTGCTTTCGGAGCCGGTGCCCGTCATTGTCGAGCTCCCTGCTCATACAAGGCGGGAAACTTCTCAGCCAGCGAGTGAATGCGGCCGTACTCGCCGGCACTTCACCTCAGGTTAGCCGTTTATTTTATGTGCACGATTATCGCACCAACGCTAGGTACCTTGTGGATACGGGTGCCCAAGTTTCTGTCGTACCTATCGGTAACAGTAAGTCTCAAGCCACTATGCTTCGACTACGCGCTGCGAATGGCTCAGTCATTCCCACCTATGGTACACGACAACTTACGGTCAACCTGAGCCACCGACGACAGTATCTGTGGACGTTCATCATTGCCGATGTTCCCACAGCTATACTCGGTATCGATTTCCTACAGCACTATGAATTGCTAGTCGATTCACGTAGGCTGCAGCTAATTGATATTTCGTCGAACAGCAACTTTATGGGCTCTAAAGCCCACACAAACGCGTACCGAATCACAGGTGTATTTCATTCGCGTGACTATTTATTCCACGTTTTATTTCAGAAATTCCCCAAATTAACTAAACCTTTCGAGGAGACTCCATTGGTGACCAATCGTGTGGTACACCACATAGTCACCCGCGGACCACCAGTCACGGCAAGACCTCGCCGACTGGCACCGGACAAATTAGCTTTCGCTAAACGTGAGTTCGACAATTTACTAGCTACTGGTATTATTCGTCCTTCTCACAGTCCTTGGGCCTCACCTCTCCACATGGTTCGAAAAAAGGATGGGGTTAGTTGGAGACCATGCGGAGACTACCGAGCGTTAAACACAGCTACACGTTTCGATAGCTATCCCATCCCCCACATACATGACATCACAGCATCACTCAAGGGCACGACAATTTTTTCCAAGATCGATCTAGTACGAGCATATCATCAGATCCCAGTCGCTCTTGAAGATATAGAGAAAACTGCCATCACGACTCCTTTCGGTTTATTTGAGTTCCTACGAATGCCATTTGGATTACGGAATGCTGCTCAAACTTTCCAAAGGTTTATCGATAGCATTGTACGAGACCTAGATTTTGTTCACGTCTATATTGATGACCTGCTCATCGCATCATCAAACGTAGATGAACATTATCAACACCTGACGCTACTATTCCAGCGCCTTTCGGATAATGGAATAATAGTCAACCCCGATAAGTGTGAACTCGGGAAGAAGGAAATAAAATTCTTAGGTCATGTTATTAAGCATGAGGGTATTCTACCTTGCGAGGATAAAGTACGTACTATAATGGAGTACACTGTACCGTCCACACTCAAGGAACTGAAGGCATTTCTCGGTTTGGTCAACTTCTACCGACGTTTCATTTCGCACGCGGCAGAACAGTTACGACCGTTAACCGATTTACTTCGCGGTAATCCACGCAAACTGGAATGGAATGACGCCGCACGTACTGCATTTTCAGATATCAAAACAGCCCTAGCTCAAGCCACACTTCTCGTGCATCCTGAACCATCAGCCACGCTTAGTATAGCGGTTGATGCATCGGATTTCGCCATAGGAGCCGTTATGCAACAGAATATCTCCGGTAGTTGGCAGCCCCTCGAATTTTTCTCACGACGCCTCACTCCCACGGAGACGAGATATAGCGCTTTTGGTAGCGAACTGCTAGCGGCCTACTGCGCCATCGAACATTTCCGGCACGCTGTAGAAGGTCGTAATTTCATCTTATTCACCGACCATAAGCCCTTAACGTATGCTCTGCATACCAAGTCTGACCGCTACTCACCACGAGAGTGCAGACATTTGGACTATATCTCCCAGTTCACGACAGACCTTCGTCACGTCAAAGGCGAGTCGAACTGTGTTGCTGATGCTTTATCACGTATCCAACTGAATGCAGTTACTTTGCCAGTGCTCGATCTACCTGCTATGGCCGCCGCCCAAGCAAACGATACTTCATGCACGGAAGCACAACAGTCTACGTCCCTTCAATGCCGGGAAGTACCCCTAGCTACTAGCTCAGGTACTATCCTATGTGATACTTCTACGGGCCTCCCTCGACCCATCGTACCCTCCGCTTATCGCTGTCTCGTCTTTGATGCCCTTCATGGTTTATCTCATCCTGGTATCGCAGCCATACTACGTCTCATCGCTGCACGATACGTCTGGCCGTCCATGAATAAAGATGTCCGTATGTGGGTAAAGCAATGCTTACAATGTCAACGATCAAAAGTGCACAGGCACGTAGCTGCCCCTATTGGCACTTTCGCTACGCCTGATGCTCGCTTCGATCACGTTCACATAGACATTGTAGGACCATTACCACCATCGCACGGGTATGATCACATACTCACGTGCATTGATCGTTTCACAAGATGGCCCGAAGCTATTCCCATCACGTCTATTACGGCGGAGACAGTTGCTCACCGCTTCGTAGAACGATGGATAGCTCTGTACGGTTGTCCCTCGACTGTCACGACTGACCGAGGACAACAATTTGAGTCCGCATTATTCTCCTCACTAACACGGCTGCTTGGTACGGAACGCATACGCACTACCGCCTACCATCCAGCATCAAACGGTTTAGTTGAACGGTTTCATCGCCAACTTAAAAGTGCTCTTCGAGCACACGAAAACAACAATTGGTACGAAACCCTGCCGCTCGTCCTCCTGGGAATCAGAACGAGTCTAAAG